CCCTGTGGACATGGATACTGAGAGGGAATAATTTATCTGCTCTTTACCCTAGGTAGACAGAGTAGGGAGGTTGCTGAGAGCATGTGTGAACCGTGTGTGTAAAGCACTTAAGTAACTCATGCTTTAGTTTCCTATTCTATAATTGTGGGCAAAATTTCTGTCAACCTTATAGGGCTGTGGTGAAACTTAAATTAATTAATATGTGTAAAAGCATCTAGTGTAGGGCACATGGTAAATATTCAGTTAATGGTGTTTAATCTTTTTTTTTTTTTAAAGATTTTATTTCTTTATTTGACAGAGAGAGACAGCGAGAGAGGGAACACAAGCAGGCAGAGTAGGAGAGGGAGAGGCAGGCTCCCCGCTGAGCAGAGAGCCCGATGCGGGGCTCGATCCCAGGACCCTGGGATCACGACCTGAGCCGAAGGCAGACGCTTAACGACTGAGCCACCCAGGCGCCCCTGGTGTTTAATCTTTTTAATCCTTTCCTTCTGCCTTACAAAGACAAAGGACACTGGGAGTTTGTTTTTCAGAAACATTTGGTTCCAGAAGATAAAACCAGAGCAGGAAGTATATGGTAAATATTAAGGTGCATGCTTGACACGAGTTCCAAATACATGTTGTGTACTTACGTGAGAGGAATTGGATAACAAGAGCGGATAGGTAGAATATCTGGAAGAAGACTTCTCAGCATATAGGTTTCCACTCGGGTTCTGCCACTTGTCAGTTGTTTGAACTTGGATATCTACGCTAACGGACCACTCGGGGAGAACAAACCCCAATGTTTTTTTATCCCATTGGGCAGAGAGAGGAGGTCTTCTGTTTGAGTTGCCACCTGAAGATAAATAACGGGCCCCTAATCGATGGAGCACAGGATTGTGGCATCTGAGAATTCAAATATCAGGTGTCCATCGAAAGGAGCTTGGACAATTATAATTACATATAACAGCCAATTAAAAAAAAGGTCCAAACTGTGTGTTGTTTCTATTCCTAGCTGCTCAAAACTTTACTCCTGACTTAAGTGTATGGTTGATGAAAGGCAAGAAAAGAAGGTACGTTGCCTTTAAACGTGACGTGACAATGAAATAACAATGTGGAAGCAAGAATCCAACAACAAAACATGCCTCAAAAGATGAAAAGATACATGGGGAAGATAGAGGTCAAACTATTATCTATGGTAGTAAAAACTACTGATTCTAAATGTATTCAATTGGACCACATGAAACTGAGAAATGTATAGGATCGTTGAATTGTTATGTTACACACCTGAAACTAGTGTAAATTATACTTGAATAAAAAAATTAAAACATAAAATAAAAATTGTCAATACCAGACAGTTTTTAACTTATAAAAATAACAACTTAAGGGGCGCCTGGGTGGCTCAGTCATTAAGCGTCTGCCTTCGGCTCGGGTCATGGTCCCAGGGTCCTAGGATCGAGCTCCGCATCGGGCTCCCTGCTCTGCGGGAAGCCTGCTTCCCCCTCTCCGTCTCCCCCTGCTTGTGTTCTCTCTCTTGCTGTGTCTCTCTCTGTTAAATAAATAAATAAATAAAATCTTAAAAAAAATGACAACTTCATATGTTTCAAGGCAACGCCAATTAAGAGATCATCAATCTTTTGAAGAAGGAATGGCTCTGTGATATTTTGCATAGTCTATATGGGGAATTATAATGATGAAAGATTGTCATTTTTCTATTAGGTTTATATTGCTGGAACCAAGATATATGAAAGAGAAGGGAAATAAAAAGTGCACATGCAGCGAAAAATCACAACTGAGCTCCCTTTTATAGGGGTAAAAAGGTAGAAAAATTGGACTAGAGGTAAGAATGGTGTCACAACGAAGAAAATCTTATCTATGTATAAAAGGTTAATTTAAGTCTGTGCATTCAAAAAGGGCTTCTAGATATGCCCTGTGAAGTCTCCCACTGACTTTGAGCAAAGCCCTTGTTACGCTACCAAACCCTACAGTTGCATGTCCCTATCTTCTCTGTTATAATCCATCATTGTGCAGTGGAAATGCCAGGAATCGCTGTGGACTTGGGAAGGGGAGAAGTGCCTTCTGCTAGCAGTCTATGCAGGGCGAGTAAACAGGAAAGACTTTATAAAATAAGTATCTCCTGAGCTTTATGAGGCAGACATGTCACAGGTCCTACAGTTTCATGCTCTCAGCTGAACAGGTGAGGTGGAAAAACACTGAAGATAGGAGATTCTGATTATAATCCCAATAAAGAGCAAGGTCTATAATGAAATCAAGAACCTATGATAGATTTCAAAGTAAAAAGACTTAGTAACAGAACACAGTTGGCAGATAACATTTAGGAAACATGAAAAGGTAAGACCAGGGATGTTCGCCTAGGGGATGAGCAAAAAATGTGTAACAGGGTATTTGTAAAGGGAAATATACAGAAAATAATAGTTAAAATGTTGGCATTTTCAATTTAAAAGGGTAGAGGTACATCCAAGGAGAAGTGTTATAAACAGGATTACAATTTAGGAGTCCTCTGTACAGAAAAAATACTGGGCTGGAAAGTCAGTCTTTTTCTGCTTTGTCAGCTCCCACAAACTAATGGTATCTGCCTTGAGCCTTAGATTGAGAAGGAGTCCAAATCCATGGCTGGCCTCAGCAGGGAAGTCTCCACAGTCAGTCAGCAATGTCAATCATTAAGTTTGGAGGCGAGAGTGACATCAAGGACCAGCCACCTGCCCTCACAAAAGATGGTGCTAAGCTACTTGGACATGGAGGTAGAATGAGAGATCTGCATGATGAGCACAGAGCCTCAGCTTTGCCCAAAGCTGAGTATGAGAGGGAACTGAGCAAGGCCATAAACAGAAATTTGGGAAGAAATTCAGGCAGGTCCAGAATCATAGAAACCAAGGGAGAAGAGAAGGCCATAAAGGAGGTACGGTCAACACAATCACATTCTGCAAAGCAGGAAGAAGAATGAGGCTGAGAACAACCCGTAGACCGGGCAGTGACAAGTTCCTGTGTGCCTTGGGAAAGACTGTATCATTTCAGGGAATGATGAAGTGAACCCTGTGAGGAATTAGTCAATTTTTATGTACCACATCCTTAAGGAATTATTAAGTCACCTCTCAGCCTCCACTTTTTGGGATAACTCATTACTGTATATCATTAAAGCCAGATCATAAGTTTGAATAACACAAACCTTAGTGGGGGGAAAGTACTGTAAAGTTTACTTTTGGGGCACCTGGGTGGCTCAGTCGTTAAGCGTCTGCCTTCAGCTCAGGTCAGGATCCCAGGGTCCTGGGATCGAGTCCTGTATCAGGCTCCCTGCTCAGCAGGAAGGCTGCTTCTCCCTCTCCCGCTCCCCCTGCTTGTGTTCCCTCTTTTGCTGTCTCTCTCTCTGTGTCAAAAAATAAAAAAAATCTTAAAAAAAAAAAGAGAGAGATACAGAAATCCTCAAAAAAAAAAAAGTACTCTAAGGTTTACTTTTTAAAAATTGAATAAGGGTGATTTCTAATCTTGTTTTAAAATTATGGTTAGAGCTCACATGAATGCAATTTTAAGATAGGCTATTATTAATTTTTATTGTAAAACCTAACTTAAATTTACATCAAATTAAGAAAACCTTATAGAAGAAATTTCTTAAAACAGAGTCATCATTACACAGAATCTGACATGTGTTCTTAAAGTATTTAATTAATGCATCTCAATACCCCCTCTACCCTAGGTGGACAGAGTAGGGAGGTTGTTGAAAGCATGTTTGAATTGGGTGCAAGGTATATACCTACTCCATGCTTTAGTTGCCTCTTCCATAAATTGTGGACAAAAAGTAAAAAGAAAAGAATATGTCTAGTAAGATACTCAGGTCCCCCATCTGTCTGACTTACAAAGGCACCTGGCAAAGAAGAAGCCATTCTAGAAAAGAAGCCCTGGTTTCCTCTACCGTGAGGCTGAGATGTCTGTTGAGATACCCTCATTAAAGGAAGAAATGGCACTTGCCAGTGCGCTCTGGCCCTTTAAGACCCGGACAGTCTGATTCACTAGGCACCATGGAAACAAGACAGCTGGCAGCACCCAAGACACTGGCAGTTGGACAAGTAATGGAGGACAAATGGGACCTCAAGGACAGGTAAAAGCAAGAAGCACTTGGAGAAGAAAAGAAATGTTAAGATGACCTGGAGGTAAGAAAAAGAGATTGGTAAGAAGAGTAAGTGAAAATTAACAGAATTTATTATTTGATACCCACAACAACAACAAAAGGAAGGGAAAAGGGCTATTTCTGACATTTGTCGATAGGGAAAAAACCCCAAAGAATCAAAATTAGGTACTCCAAAAATCGACTGTTATTAGACAAGCCACAGTAATAACTTTTCATATCCTGAGTAAAGATGAAGTAAGCCAATTAGGACTTAAGAATTCCCCAGATTTTTTTTTTTAATTTACTGACCAGTTAAATTTTTTTTAATGGAGAATTACCATAAAATACCACTTTTTTTTTTAATTGACGAATCAAGGACAATCTGTAATTGCCATTACATATATGAAAAGACATTTTAACATGATACCAATGCTCCGGTGAGTGAATGTCAGATACATTCCTGTGTGTGTGTGTGTGTGCACATGCATGTGCATAAGAGCACACGTGTGATTCAGGAAAAGGGAAAAAATTTAATATAAGTTGAAGGAGAAAATAATAATGCAAACAAAAACAGAGTTAACTTGCTCTAGATTACGTTCTTTCTTCTCCCCACTCACCAGTGTACTAGAGTTCTTTCCTATGATGTAAATGTTATTTCACTGTAAACTTTTAAACAATCTCTATAATTTACATCTTGTTTTAACATTCTCTTTTATTTCAAAGATGGTATTGTCGATAATACTGGGAAGGGATTTTGCTATTCACTAGCATTTGACAAATAAACTTTTTTTTTTTTGTGAGAAGAAATAAAAGAGTTCACCATTGAAGAGGTATCCCGATAATGTAAACACCGTGCTAGGCTAAAAACTGGAATCATCTGCAAGAACAAATAGGACCCATCATGACATTCCCAGGCCATATGGGAAAGACCAACAAAAGGACTTTTCCAGTGGAATCTCCTCTAATGCCACAAATTCCACGTGGCAATTACTTTCATCTTCAGGAAGAGAAGCAAAGACTACAGCTAAAGAAATTCCTTCTTCATAGGATGTTTCTAGTGGCCGATATAACAGCAAACACAGAAAAAAAAGATATTGCTGACTACTATGAACAAGCATTCCAGTCGATTTTAAAACATCACCTAGGAGAAGCAGTGACAGGGTTTCTGCTGGTATATCCTACTTCTATTCTGCATATCCTTGAGAGTTCCAATGGTACGCTTTACCGAATTCTTCTAGATTATCTTAACCATCAAAAGAGTGAAGCAGAGTTTTTTATCCAAGGGATGAAAATTATCGTTGTGTCCCATAACATCCCAACTAGGCTCTTCATGCAATGGCATGTTTCAGTGATAAAAGTTCCAGTCATGTATCTCGATGATGTGACACAGACACAGTCCACCAAAGAGGTCATCACAGAGTTTCTCACTCAGACCCATAAGCTAGCACTCCATCTTTTAAAGACGGTTAAAGTGGGCGCTAAAGGACCAGGGGATAACTTGCACCAACTTGCACCTGAACTGCTCATCCCAGAACAAATAATAAAGTACTTGTGCAAATCTGAAGAGTTCCTGGATCCAGAAACTTTCCTAAACATATACAACAAACCCATACATGTCACTTTGGATTCCGAGGTGATATGGCCCACTCCTACCTATTTCTAGGATTGAGAGAGATGTGGTGGATAGGGTGAAATCTCTCAAGGAATCAGTGCTACTTAAAGAAAAGAACAGGATTTCTAAAGTAACTCTTCTCTTGAAAAAAGAAAGCAGCAGAATGCCACAATATACACAAGGTAATATATTAATCTTTACAGAGCATGTTGAGCTAAACTTGAAAATTAATGTTTATTCTGATATTAAGTTCAACGTGTTATTTTAATGGGTGGAGGGGGTTAATAAGTTAATAATTTTTCAAATGTTAATATCATTTTGACGAAATGGCTTGTTTTTTTTTAAGAAAAGTATAGATAATAAAGGGCAAATTCCGATTCTCATTCATTCTTTCTTTTTAAGATTTTATCTATCTATTTGAAAGAGAGAGAGAGAGCGAGCGAACGCACACAATCAGGGGGATCAGGAGATGGAGAAGCAGACTCCCCACTGGGCAGGGAGCCTGACGTGGGGCTTGATGCCAGAACCCTGGGATCAAGACCTAAGCTGAAGGCGGACAACCGACTGAGCTACCCAGGTGCCCATCACTCATTCTTTCAACAGTAAATGAACAATAGCCACCACACAGAATCAAATTTCAGGAAACACCATTTTGTTCTCAGAATATAAAATTTAGAGGAAAAACACCATCACTGAGTTGCTTGCAACCTACATTTAGAGGCAAGTATGTGTAAAAGTAAATATGATATGATATGGTATGAGCATTATTATAGTTAGCACTACGTAGGAAACACTTGAAGGACTAAGCTCTGTGAGATATGATTCCTGAATTCAGAACACAAAACCTCAACTTTGAAAACAGTGCCAAAGCTCATATATTCTGAACTATATAATCAAGAATTCTGAGGCTATTATAAAACTGAAGAACACAGTAGCTTTTTGAAACAACCAGAAAATACATTGTCAGAAGGCACTGTATTCTTTCATGCAAAATCATTTTTTGAGCATCCTTCACATGACAGACATTTGCCAGATGTTAGGGATAGAAAACATGATTCTTGCTCACTTGTAAAACATTTATAAACGATCCCACAAAAGATATACAAGTTGGTTTTTTTTTTCCAATTTACTTCCTATAAAGCAATTAATGACATAAATTTCTATATGACCTATTTTAAGTTGTTCTCTCCCTTCCTTCACCCAGGATCAATGCCCTTATTTAAAATATTTAAGTATTTTTAATTATTTTAAATAGTATAATTTATTTAAAATTATTTAAAATATTATTTATTATTATTTAAAATAGTATAATTTGTTTATTTAAAAAAGTATAATTTGTTTAAACTATTAAATGGCATTAATATCTTGATGGCTTCAGTGACATTTATCCAAAATTATTTCAATATCTCATGAAACAGATTTAGTAGAAGAAATACTGTGTTCCATTTTACTTTTTTTTTAATATTATTTGATTTTCAGTCTCTTTAGGGGAAAAAAAGCAATCTCAGTATACAACTCAAATTTGTCATATGCAGATAATTTGTCATCACTTGTTCCATATCAGAATCAAATTTCAGGAAAGACTGCTTCTATTTTTAAATTTTGTAATATAGATTTAGATACAGAATGCCATTTTTCACTCTTAGCTGAACTTGAAGTTCTGTTCATTTAAATTTAGTAACAGAAAGAGTATATTTTAGATTAAACATGAAGTAATTCTTCTGGTTAAGAAAGAGTATATAACTTACAAACATTTTATCAATTTAGCAAATATTAAACACCTCATATTCATCAGTAATGTGCTATTTACTCTGAAATGTGAAAAAGACACAGGCATCCACACTTTGAGAATAAGTGTTCAGCAACAAAATGAGTGGAAGTAAAAAATGCTTTCCAGGCAAAAAAAAAAAAAAAAAAAAGCCATAGAGAAAAGACTTGAAGAAGTAAGCCTTATCTAGGCTTGTGGATGTGAGGAGAGGTTGGGGAGGGCAGATGAGCATATTTACGAGAACAGAGAACAAGCAAAAATAGGAAGGAGAAAATGACCCGTAAGTGTTCATTGAATCAGGTAAAATTCCTTTAGGAAGGTAAATTTTGTTTGTTTAGGAAGAGTATTTTCTAAAGTTAGCTAGTGAATAGAAGTGCAGTTTACAAATAAAATTGTATATTTATCTATATAAAAGTATGACGTATTTCCCCAAAATGGCCATGGCTAATATCGCATCCCACATGCTCTTCTTACAATGTGGCCTTAACATTCATACATATCATGGTGGCTTCTAAATCCCCTCCCCTTGAAATCAAGCAGACCTTTGTAATTGCCTTGACCAAGAGAATACAACAGAAGTGATCCCATGTGACCGCCACGGCTAGGTCATAAAAATGCTACACACTTTACCATGATCACTTCAATGCTAGCTAGCTCTTGGAACCTAAAAATACTCTGTGAGCAATCCAAGTGATTTTCCAGAGGACATCCCCAGCCGAGGTCCCAGCCAACAGCCAGGATCACCACTAGACATGTGAGTGAGTGAACCTTCCAGTGATTCCAGACTCTAGTCTTCCAGTCAACCCTGGATTTCAAGCCAGCCCAACTGACACTGTGCAGAATAGTAGAGACGGTGTGTTCCCACTGAGCCCTGTCCAAATTGCAGATCTGTGAATGAGATAAACGACTGTCGTTGATTTAAGCCCCTGTGTTTTAGGTGGGTGATTATGTATTAGTCTGGAACAATAATATATATGTAATAGGAGTAATCACATATATATATATATATATATATATATATATATATATATATATATATGCATGTAATTTCATATCATTTAGTTTTCATTCATCTATGCCACTAATATTTACTAAATACCTACTGGTAAATGTTTACTAGGGGGCCAAGCACCATGCTTGTCACTGGGGATGCAAGCACTCCCAGCTGAAAGGTGTGTATCTTCCTAGCATAGGCCTAGCACACTGCCTAGCATCGATCTTTTATTGGTCTGTAATACTTTCGTATCAGAAAGTATTATAGACCAATAAAATACTTTCTGATACGAAAGTATTATAGACCAATACAAAAAGTACTGATTGAAAATTAATTCACTAAGCCAAAGAAAAACATTAAAAATCAGAATCATTTTTGGAGGAAGTTATAGGAAAGATCTCAATGATAATATTACCGATTTACTTAGCATACTGTTAATTTACATTTGAAGGATTCTTGAAGTGTCCATTGTGAAAATAACTGGAAAAGAAGTGCAAAGAGACTCTAAATAAATCAAACTACTTATGTAGTTATTTATCTGTTTTAGTGAGAACAGGAGAATGAGTTTATTCAAGTGGAAGCTACCCTTCCTACAAGTCACATTAGGGGGGTTTCTACTTATTTTTCAGCTAAAATATCACTGCTGAAAACATTTTGCGACTTTTATGACAGATGAATGAAGAAGGATTATAAATCAAAGGGAGTTTAAATATTTTAGCTCCCTCTAGTATTTTGACTCCCAAATAATATATACTCCAACTTGACTGGTGACCTTGATATTCAGTCTTCATTCATAAAAACATTTGTTGTTGTTTTTTATTATTGCATTCACTCTCAAAGGAATATCTGCTGTCATCAAACATATTAAAAGAATGTGACACTGTTCTCTAAGGGGGAACACAAATATGTTTTCAGTAACAGTTGTATTATTGAGGTTCCTATATAGCTCACTAATATCATGTCTTTAAAAGGGAAGACACATAGTGTATGTTTATATATATTTGATAAAATGCAGAAATATTATAGTCAGACCTTACAAAGGTAATTTAATTTGATCAAGTCAAAAAAATGTGATTTATTAAAGCTTAGGAAGGCTCATAAGGTAATTCTCAACCCAATGAGAGTTATAGTTTCCTTACAATAAAACTTTCCATAAAGCTAGAGTACAGGGGCACCTGGGTGGCTCAGATGGTTAAGCGTCTGCCTTCGGCTCAGGTCATGATCTCAGGGTCCTGGGATCGAGCCCCACGTCAGGTTCCTTGCTCAGTGGGGAGCCTACTTCTCCCTCTCCCTTTGCCTCTCCCCTTGCTTGTGCTCTCTCTCGCTATCTCTGTCACTATCTGTCTCTCTCTATCAAATAAATAAATAAAATCTTTTTAAAAAATTAAAAATAATAAAAGCTAAAGTACAGTTAACCCAAGCAGAAAATGAGTATTTTAATACCGAACATATAACATTCAGTGTTCTTATAACAATGAACATAGAACATAGAACATATACATATCCAGTGGACATGCAACATTTAAACGGTGAGGCTGGTGCCATTCTAATTCTTGTATTTTGATATGGATATGCTCACAGAAGACTGACATGCCAAGGCTCTTATGTTCTTTTCAGAATAACCAAGGGCTTTCGGGAAGGTTATAGTTTTCATGAAGATTAACTAAAATAATGTTATTTGGAGGGAAAAATCCTCCCAGGGTGAATTTAAAATTTTTACTGTCTTCATCATAATTAAAGAGGCATGTGGATTCATTCATAGATAATCATTGCTTAATACAAATAGATTTTTATATTCAGTGACTTTATCGTAACTTTAGCGACACGAAACCACATTTCAATTCAGTTAAACCTACCTCTAGCAGTAGAATTCCCCCAGCTTCCACAAGGAAGTGGAAATGAGACAGCCTATCATCAACTTTGAGATTATTTCATACTGTAGAAAACGATTTAATGTAGAATTAGAGTTCTCCCTCTTGTGGCCAATTATGTAAATTTCCAGAATACCTGCTGATAGGACCCATGCAGTAAACACAGTGCATAGTTTTTAAGAGAATATAAAGAGAACCCCCAAAAGCACTTTTCAAATGTCTGCTCTAATCTCCCTGTCTGGCAGATAAAGATTCTGAGACCCAAAGACATGAAGTGTTTTGCCAACAATGAAACCAAGAATCGATTAACACAAGTTTCCTATTTCCACTTGACTACTTTACATCATTAGTTGTGGTCATGGGTAGGGGGTCTGGATTTAATTCCGAGTGGTCTCTTCACTGTGGCACCATACCCCTC